TTCCCTTTTTTAAAAAAAAATGCAGACATTGTTTCTTTAAAAGGTTCCATCTGCAAATCCCATTAGTTGTGCATATAAGGTTTCAGATGATTAATAGTTCCTTGCTTTGCTTTGGTTGGAGGGATGAGTGTATGTACTTTAACCCCTCCCTCCCCTCTCTCACATTTCACTTCACAAACTTGTCACTCTCTCCCCAGCACAGTATTTAGAATGTGTTTCACTCATGTCCAGCACTTCACAGGGAAGCAAGTTTCAGGCTTTGGGAAGCAATTCAGGGAAATCACTGCATACATCTCCTTACCGTTTTCCAGTCAGGACAATGAAGACATTTAGAAGAGTTCCCAAAGTAACAAATCTGCAACAGCATAAAACCCACAAACAAGCTGTTATTTAAAGAGGAAATCTATTCTATAAAATTTGGAAGATTTCCCCTCTGCTCCTTTTCCAGTTTTGCAGCCTGGGCTATAACCAGTCACCAAGACTGAAGAGTGGACAGGACTGGAAGCAAATGGATCCCACCAGCAGCAGCTGCATGCGCAGTCCACAACCTACTGCCCCGCTTTGGGGGTGCCTGCGGAGCACCCACGTGGATGTCACCACAGCGTCAGGGCTGAACCACTACCCCCCAGCACCGTTCTCCCTCCATCAAAAATCAGATTTTGCTACTTACTCTGATATTTCAACCTCCTGCCTGGTGACTGTTCCCCATAGCTTCCCGCTTGAGGAGCGAGCATTTGTGGAGCAGCATCCCTCTTTCCAACACTCTGACTGGCATTTTGGAGCAACTGAGGCCAGAAGACGACTAAATCCAAGACTGGCCTTTGGTTCTGGCAAGTCAGAAGGCAGCAGACCAAAGCTAGTGGGCACAGCAGAGGGTATGAATGAAGATGATGAGGTACCAGAAAATACTACAAATGAGACTGAGAAAAAGCCATCCAAAAGAAAAAAGGAAAACTCAGGTAGGTGGTACGAAATCAGGGTTATGGGACAGTGTAGGCTAAAGAATAAGAGCACCTGTAAGATTAGAAACACAGAAATAAAGCTGATGAGGAAAACATTTTGTAATTCTTGACTGGGAAACTTACACAATTACACTGAAAGTAAATGGCTTATTCTTTGATGACTTTTGCTGCTTGTATTTCACTCCTACATATCTTGTTTACTGAACCCGTCATTTTATTCACCAGCATAATGCACACTTGCTGTAACTAAACAGGAATCACATGGCGTGCATACACTGAGCTGAAAGTCCTAGGATGTGGAGTTATATATTGCATACCTGACATTTGTACGGGCATAAAAGAATGGCAGTCAAAGACAGATCCCTAATCTTGAGCTGCCTGTGCTAGTAGGAAATGTTATACCAGGATTTTGACATCTCAGTTTATGGTAAAAAGTGCAAGATACAAAGTCTCCCTTTAGATATAAATTTTATTTGGCCTCACTAAATATTAAACATTTTTACCTCAAAACAGGCAGTACTAAAAGTTTGCTCATCCGTACAATGTCTAACAATACAGAAAATTTAGATAGATTTTATTGTGTCTTCCTAAATAGCTAGAAAAACATATTCTTTCTACAGTGCAATATTCAATAATTTCGTGGTTATATAACTGCCGCTGTCTCAAATCCAGATATGTGAAATATGCATAAAACTGTTTTCTCTTAAGGAAACTGTTAAAAATTAAGATGTTTACGTGTATACACATTCGTTCACTATATTAATCATTTACAAGCCATAATGTTCTTCTTCCTACAGTACTGCTATGAAGTGGGGAATATTTTTCTGTATCCACGTTTTAGAGGTAGAGAACACAGCAATAAAAATATTTTTTAAATTATTTTTAGGTTTTACAGGTTGGCTACAGAAGAGTCACCTGTAATCTGACTTTCATTTCTCCGTTTTGCAATCGAAACAATAAGCTTATATTCCTGCTCTCTCTGTCCCACCATTAGTCCTAATCTCTGTTCTCTTCCAATATGAATAGGCTGTCAGGCAACACATAACTAATAATCCAAGCTTCTTTTTACCAAAATCTAATTCACTCTTCTCAGTTATCTGTTTTTCCTTTAGAAACACTCAGTTATCTGTTTTTCCTATTCTACAGCTTTGTAGAATATAAGTTCATTCCTATTGAAAAAGTTTGCTTGGAGTAAAAATTTCCCCAAAATCCAAATACAGAGAAGTTTAAAAAAGAATAAAAATTTAAAAGTCAACAATGCTTTTATTAAAACATTTGCTCGTCATAGGTAACCAGCACATTTCAGGATACTCAGATTAGAGGGATATCCTTATCCTTAGATACCAATTCCAAAGCACATTTTCCTGTTTTAAATAATTAGGAGACAAATGCTCCTTCTATTCTCTATTATCAGCATCTTTGATAGATTCTTTTTCATACTTGCTGCTGTCTCATATACTTTTCCTTGCAGGGGATCTGTAAGCAATGACATCACTGAAAGGTATGGTGTTTCCTACCTTCTAGCAACTGTTGCTGTCTGTACAAGTTGTTACTCTTGCAAACACAGAATAATGCAAACATCCCAAAGTGGAATCAAGGGCTTCTCATTTCACTCCCTTCTTCGCTTACCAGACAGCAGCTAGAATCAATTATGCTGGTTGTAAGCACAAGCAAAGACGACTTCTGTGCACTAGCTCCAAATGCTGAATTTTGCCCATTGGTTTCCAGGGATTTGGTTGCCTCTTCATACACACATGTACGTAGTAGTGCCCGACACAGTTTTTGTTTTGGAGATTTTTATAGCATAGGAACATGTACTGCTTGGGTTCCTAAACATATATTGCTGCAGCCCTGGGGAAAGGCGGCTGTTCAGTTCAACCACACAATCAAACTGTCTGGACTCCTGGAAGTATGCATGCTTCATGTGACTGAAACAGATCTTCCTGTGATTCCTGGTAGCTTTTTTTTTTTTTCTTTTTTAAACTGGAAGTACAGTTGGGAAATCTTTCCAAGCCAATTTGTCCTTTCACACAACATTTGCCATTTTCCGTGTTCTGTTGTCAAAACTCTGAAGCAATTAGGCCAAATTTCCACTTTTGGAATATCACAAAACGTTCAGCCATGAACAACCATATGCCTCTTTAAAACAAAATGTGGCACACAGCCTGAATGACAGGATCCAAGCTACACATCCTGCTCTGTTCCTAGAAATACTTAGCTATTAAAAATTATTCACAGTGGTTTTTGGAGATGAAGACTGGTGAAATGCCCCTTAAAAAGGATGTCCTTCACAGATGGCTAGGTGGTGAGCTCATATGTATATTCAGGCTGCATCAGCTATTTTTGTCCCAGGTTAATTTGACAAAGGTGGCTTTAGTTCCTGCAGTGTATTTGCATTGGAGAGCTACTTCACCCCTCTGCATATTTGATAGGGAAGCAGAAACACAGGGCTCCAACACCCTTGAGACCAAGTCTCCCAGAAGCTGGTGGCAAAGTTCCCAGCAGGGGATCCACACTTCATATCCCACTTCCCTACTACCCTCTCAAGTCACATTCGCTAGCCTTTGGAAAACATGTAATGGTGAATTTGTTCAGTAAGAGATAAGAATGAGGAGGATTTTACAACTATGTGCAAAAACACAGGAGAAACTTCTGGGGGTTTGTTTTCATACTTTCCCTAACTTTATTTTGGGATTTTTGAAGTATAAGTGACAAGAAAAATGTTGATGTAAACAGGACTGATTTCCTCGAAATGGAGAGCAGTACAGCTGCACCTTACGACACACCAGTTCTTGACCACATTATCACTAATGGGAGCTACATTCAATTTCTCTATTTCTGAGAGGCAGAGCTAAGATCAGATCAATCGTGAAGCCTACAGCCACACCTGACACATTTTTTCCAGCCCTATTACTTTGGCAACCAAAGGGACATCTAAAGAATGATGCTGTGTGTCATAGTCACTGCTAACATTCTGTATATAATTTCTGTGCAGCAATGTTATGCTAAGACACATGGAACTTCGTTGCACACAAAAAATAATGAGCACTTCCATTAGTAGGTTATATCAGACGTCTGCAATACACTTGTTCACACATATCCATGTAACTGCAAATAACACATGTGCTTGCCTCTTAGAAAACCAGAACTCAAGCAACAAGGCAGAAACAAACAGCAAATCACGGAAGGAAAGGACAGCTTTCACAAAGGAGCAGCTACAGGAGCTGGAAGCTGAATTTGCCCACCATAACTACTTGACAAGGCTCAGGAGATATGAGATAGCTGTGAACCTGGATCTCACCGAGAGACAAGTACTTCCTGAATCCCTGCCTCCCCAGCTTCTTCTTCCTCACCCACAATTTCTCCCTAAAGATAAAACACAGATATGTTACTTATGGGCATATCTTTGCAATGGCAGAGGTATTTTAACACAAAGCCTCCATGCTCTCTTAAAACACATTTGTTACAAACTTCTGTAAGTAGTTAACAAATGTAATTATGCTTATCTAAACTAAAGACACATTTGAGAATAACTGATACATACTGAGCTGTTGTTTACCATCACTCATTGGTACATATGGATATGTGGAGACTTACAGGTGGAATATTGATATCACCTTAGACTGCGGTTACCAGGCAATTCTTAGAATGATATATGTTTCATACATGCATTCTTCCTTGGTCAGGTAGTATTTTGAGCTGGTGAGGAAAGACAAAAATGCAGAGTTCCTTGAATAAGGATATGTCTGTTTTCTCCTTATGATCTCAGTCAGGATTTCCTTATCAAAGCTTAGTAGGCAATAGAGGAATGGTTCAATTAAATAAAGCAAATTACAATTGCTGAAGCATTAGATTGGATGAACAAGATGCTAATAGACATTAGAAGCACTGTGGCCATTGGACTGACATGCTTAGTTGACCTAAAGACAGATTCTAGGCAAAGCACTTGCACTAACATTGTAGGTCTCAGAGAAATATCTGCCTAGAATGGTTTGGAAAGAATTATTCCTGCCTTTGTTAGAGAGATGGATTACTTAAACTCCTGAGGTTCCTTTCAGCTCTTCTAGTATTCCACAAAATATCTGTCTACTGATACACACACATATGCATAGCTCTGCTTTTACAGCTCAGATTGAGGCAATAAGTAATTATTTCCTTTTTATCATCCAGGTCAAAGTATGGTTTCAAAACAGAAGAATGAAGTGGAAACGTATTAAAGGTGGGCAACTGGTGTCCCCAAATGAACATGACACAGAAGATGTGGACTCTGCTGCCTCCTCCAGCTCTGACTAGTCCTTGCAGCAATGATAGAGGAGTATGGAGAATGTAACTCATCAGAGGGTGGACGCAACACTGCTTTGGGTCAGCTACATCATGATCCTGCTTGCAAAGCCTGTAGCCCTGACTCTTTCAAAAGTGTATGATGCTTTAGGTTACAGAGGCAATTAAAGAATGCAGGGGGGAAAGCTAAAGGAAGGCATAATTTTAATTTTTTTCTGAATGAGTTTAACTGTCTGTGGAATTGTCTTACTACCACAGATGTGTCTCCAGAATAAAAGCTAACAATCACTGAATATAAAACAGGAGTAACGTTCAGGCTCTCAAACACCCATAAAATACAGGTTGCCACTCAGTGATTAATAGTGCGATCATATTCTCATCCAGCCTTTCCCTCATCACATCTGTTCATTCTGCATTTGGACTTCACCAAGCAGATTTTCCTTGTGCCTTACTTAAAGAGAAATAAATACTTTGATAGCCACTGATTTTTCTTGAGATATGAATCAAACACCTGTATGGATACACAGTAAGATTACAAAATAAAAAATTGAGACCAAAAGTATTTACACAGAATTCTACTTAGCAGTTTCAGAAGTCATGGCTTTCACATTGACAGGTGAGGACAGGTGCCTTGTTGATGTTTGCAGAGAATGATTTCTTCTAAGCTTACTGTAAATCCTGAAATGAAATTGTTATATCTCAATTTCAAGTATTTTTTCAAAGCAATCATTACCAAACATCATAGCAGCTACAGCAGAGATGAAGCCCTCAATGCAATAGCTATCACTCTTTTGTTTTCAACATTGAAATGTATTTAACTAAAACTACTCTTTAGTGCTGCATTTCTTTTGGATTTATGTAATCTGTCTGGAAAACCAAGGGTTTTTTTTTTTGTGAATGCAGGATTTTCAGGAGAAGTAGAAAACAATGCTATCTGCAGTGATTTAACTGAGTTTACTGTCTTTAAAACTTTCCTCCAAACAAATATATATGTGTGTATTTAAATTACACATAAAAACGTGTTAATCTAGGTATTGTGTGGATTAACATTCATTACTTGTTGTCACCTAAATTAATGTCTGTATTTATGAAATTGCTAATTAAGTGATCAACAGCCCTTTTGCAAACTTCACATTAATAGGTTATTTTATGTAAGTTTTCTTTTTAGTGTTAGCAACTATCAGATATTTTATACAAATGAATAGTATCTGTGCTTTTCAAAGCACGTAAACATACTGTGACTTTGATCACTTCTGCCTCTCACAGGGTTTAAGGACATCAGGAAACTTTACCAGCAATGTTTAAAGCCACTAAAGCTGACACAGTCAACTGCCCATACTTCTAATATAAATAATACATAAAAGAAGCTTTCCAATACAGAATCATAAACTGCCATGGGACCACCAGAAGTCTTAAGAACAGTTCCACTTGAAATGATTCCCCCTTCCAGCCAAAACTTGTAGTATATCAAATTACTAAGTTTTAGGAAAACATAGTGTCTGTTTTAATATCTTTTGTCTTTTTTTTTAAATATGCTAATGCCATATTTCAAACAGAATTGTACACTAGTATATCACATTATTACTGTTGAGAATACTGAAACTTTGTTTTAAGTATTTGAAAGGTAACCATGACTTGCAGCTATGGTATACTATCTTCCTTCCAACTTACTCTGATGCATTGTTTTTGGGGTTTAATGTGTACTCCAGATATGCTGGACATAAAGTTGCATATCTGGATGGTATGCTTATAAAGTTATCTGTGGATATTCTGCTTGTAAAAGACCTCAAAATAGATAAATACCAACTTTTTTTTTTAGATGTTGTATTCTTCTCAAAGATCTGTTTACTGTATTTAGTAGGAAAAAAACATTCATTACATTTCTTCTACATTTCCAAATGCTATTTGACAGATGAAAAAAATGAACAGTTTAGAATATGTATTTGTGCAAAAACAATTTTTAAAAATTCTTTTTAAAAAGAAATTATTTTAAAATAAAATTGATAATTGAAAAGCTATACAAGGTATTTTCCACTTCAAACCCAGTGGGCAGAATGGAGAAAGGAGAATCTCTTGTAAAAAAAAAAAAAAAAAGTCATTTAATTTGACTTTTAAGATTAATTCTTTCAAGTCTTTCATGGTGACAGTGAAACATCAGGATGTCCTTTACTTTGCAGGACATTCCTTGCTAGCTTGAGGGACAGAGCACCCTCAAGCCACTCCTCTGCAGCAGCAGCTGCTTTCCAATCATCAGCCAGCAGGATAGGGAAGCTAATTGTGTTACTGGTGCTTTTCCACACCATTCTACTTGCAGCACGCCTACAGTTCTTACCCACTATGAACAAAACAAAACACCACTACCCCTCCAAATGAAAAAAAAAAAAAAAAAAAAAAGAGAGAACAACCACATCACTGGTGTTTCACAGGGCCTCTGCACAAACTAGGCTGTGATCACAGCATAGATGAAAACATGTAAGTCTTGTGAGTGTGTTCACAAAGGAGTATCCCCACTCCTTCTCAAAGCAGCTAGACAGACATTCAGCAAGCACTGCTACCCCAGAAGAGTTCACCTACCTCACTGAAAAAAAAAATAGTGCACTTTGTTACCGTAAGCTAAAATGAATGTTGCATTTAATGCAAAATAATAATTAATAAATAATCCATTAATATAATTGGTAGTATGCATGTCCTTTCTCTCTCTGAGATAGGTCTACACATGTCTCTTCAGGTCAGTTTCCTCCCAGGGCATTTATGTGTGAATGGGACAGTGTTTCAAGGGGAGATCTTGCAGACAGGAAGTTACCCCAGCAGCAGTAAGCTTGGGTGTACTATGGCAGAGCACTACTATTTGGGTTACAAAACCTAACGTTAATTACAGGTTTTAATAACCTCACTCTTCACATCACATAAAACAAGTTGTCTGAAAAAACTGCCTATGCTCAAAGGAGAAGCTACATTTTAGTCTGAGAGCATAGAATGTCTGTGGCTCTGCTTAAAACTTAGTGCTTTCTGATTGTGTGTCGGACTACACTCACTAGTATAGCCCTTGGCAAACACTGAAGAAAGCTGGTTTTGTGAGGAGCTCAGGTGTTAACTCAGACATCCTATCCTTGTCTCCAGGAACACAAAACATCACAGGGCAATTCTTTTAACTCATTTCCTTGTAAGCTCTTAAGTCAATTGCACACTGTACATCACCTCACTGCCTTCTCCCCACCACAGTTAGAGACTGCAAGCTGAAGAAGCAGCTTAATTGGTGATGAAAACTTCTGGGCTCTTGGCTTCCAACATAAACTAAAATCAGCTACTCACCCAGAAAGAAGGCTAACAAATCTTCCCTTTCAAGGAATCCATCAACAATAGTATATTGCATCCTAATTCACTTAAATCTTAGTTACTGGGATCTCAGTCTGAGCCCATAATTACAGCTCCTAAACAGTTTTTGCTTTTCTCTGGCTTTTGAGAAACAAGGTACAAGTCACCTGTGAGATCATTTTATGCTTAGGCAGTTTCTGCATTAAATCATCTGCTTATTCTAAGACTTTAGTGTTTTGTGAAGGAACACTTCACTCCTGACATCAAAGCATTTGACTCCTGAACCTCTGGTGCCCAGAATCTTTCCAAAGTCTGTCGTCTGGGAGCAAAATCTCTGACCTCCAATTATGTTTCACAGAAATACACATTAGGTTTTATTCTCCTCACAGAAGGGAAGTAAGCTACCTGAGGATGTTTGGCAATGCTTCCTGTGCCTGATTCTCAATAATCTGAGCACACAGTCACCCACACAACATTGGAGAGTTCTGGCAGGTCTTCAGAGAAGCAAGAATTTCTTTCTGTATAAGGCCAGTGCAAATAGCCCACAGGGAATGGGGATACCTGTATAAACACAAAAATATGTGCTGTAACACTTTATATCTGTGCTGTCTCCTCTTAAATACAGGAAGAGAAGTACTTTCCTTCAAGTCAGATTTTATGGACATTTTATCTACCTAGCCAGATGCCAGCATAGCATTTGCCTTAATTTGTTTTACTTAGTTTCTGTATCCCATGACTCCTCTGTTGTTAGCCCTCAGTTTCTCTGCACCTTTCCACAGCATCAAGTGAAAAAAAAAAAAAAAGCACAACTGCAGTACAGACAGATGTACTCATGGTAGTTATTCCAATGCCTCGTTACAGTAGAAGGGAAGTACTCCAAACTTTTCAAGGACATTGCAAGGATGAGAATTGAAGCAGTAATTTTGTGTCCAGATCATACCTGGGAGAAATTCTCTAGCTATTGCCTCTAGTTAGATGGCACTTATCCAGGAGCTATGTTTCTGAAAGTCTGCATACCTGAATGAATATAGAAGCTTGCCAAAGATACAACAAAATAGAAAATCTATTTCAAATCTCCTGGTTAATTTTATTTATTTAGTTCAGTAATTTTTTAGGCAAAAATCTTTTCAGACATATTACAGTTGTCTCATGGAGATAATACCATACACCATCCAGTCAAGTGCTTCAGTGAAATTTTACAACAATAATCACTATTAATAAAACAGATGTGAAGCTAGTAACAGTTAACTGTCAGTACAGCTGAATCTGTGCACAGCTATGAAACAATAATGCTATTAAATTACTGTCCCCTTGTAGAAGGTCTCATGCTGGCCTCATCTATTAACCATTTAAGTGGGTGGGGTTTTTTTAGAGCTGAACCATAAATGCTATCTTTAAACCCCTGAGACAAGCTTATATTCAGAATATCTGTTTCAAAAAGAAAAGATAATTTCCTTAGAAATACAAGTATAATGAAGTTCGCACAGAAACAGTTCAAAGAAAGTAATTCCTCAGAGTGGAACAGCATTCTTATATGTTTCCTCTGCACTTGTCTTACCAGACTGTTATTATTATCAGTTAAATTCATGTAAAGGATTTGTAGAAGGAACCTACTCCATCCTAGATCCACAGAAAAAAGTTGGATTTAAAATATGTTTTCTAAATATGTTGCTGTGTTTTGCTATATACCATCCAGA